TGAGCCACAATCCCAGCCCTGGACTTTTCTTTGTTGGAAGAATATCTGTAATCAACCATTGTTTGTTTGTTTGTAAGGGATTGAACACAGGGGTGCTTTAGCCACTGAGCGACATCTCCCAGCCCCCAAATCATTGTTTGAGGCTTGTATCTTATAATACAAAATTCTCTCCTATAAGACAATTGTTCAGTCAACAAAAATTGTTGCACTTAACATGAACATCATACATTCAGAAATCAAAGAGGGAAATAATGTTTTCTAGTGTAGATGATGAAATACTTATCTGTTGAATCAGGGACTTTGGACTGAAAAGAACAGCTACCTGGGCTGAAAACGGCACTATGAAATTGAAATGAGGTTAAGTGTATAATGTGGTATGCTGAAGTTCAGAGTGACCGGTTGCATAAGCATGAAATAGGGAAACAACTTACCAGAAGTTGTAAAGTTGTGTAAAAGCCTAGCCTGAGCCCTAATTATGACAATGACGAATTCTTAGACTGTGTTACTAATAATAACAGCAGTAGTAACCGCTAACATCCACTCACTGGTTACTCTGAGCCATGTGCTGTTCTAAGCATTTTAAGGCTATTGGCTCATTTAATTCTCACAAATAGCCTGTCAGGTAAGTCTAATATTATTTCCATTTCAAATGAGGAAACTGAGGCCCAGAGCAGATAAATAATAACCCAAGGTCAAGTAGTCAGTAAGTGGTGGAGCTTGGTTTTGAAACTTATGCTAATCCTGCTCTCCTCTGGACTGGTCAGTCCATTTCTGGAGTCTTCATGTGTGAGGACATCACAGACCAAAGGTCTCCTGAGACCAGGTTGTGGCTGAGGTGGAAACCCACTCTGATGGTTGGACAAACTGGGGTCTTTTAGAAGAGTTTAAGAAAGAAATGTGCTTTACAAGTGTTTAAAGACTATTACGTGAAAGAGAAATGAGAATTATATTTTGTAGCCACAAGGAAATTACGGGTTTAGGCTGACAAACATTTACCAAATGCCTATATCTGCAAGAACCCTGGGAATTCAGAAATAAGAAGAAACAAAACAAAAACAAAAACCACTTCTTGGAGAAGTTTCCAGTCTAGAAGTGGTGAGAGGCAAAGTTGACTCTCCAAAAGACCTTTCTGAAGACCCTAGCAGCTGGATGCCAACTCTTAAATATATATAAAATTAAATTTCATAATTGAAATTTGGAGACATTTTCTGTTGATTAATATGTTGCATTACATAGATATCAAGAAAATTACTTGTCTTTTGCATTACACTTGATGTTATGGTTTGGATCTAAAGATTCATATGTTGACAGCTTGGTCCCTAATGCAGCAATGTTCAGAGGTGAGGCTCTTGGGATCATGAAGACTGTGACCTCTCAATGGATTAATCCATTGATATATTCATAGCTGATGACATTATTGGGAGGTGGTAATAATATAGGAGGTGGGACCTTGTTGGAAGAAGTAGGTCACTGGGGGCACACTTGGAAGGACGTATCTTATCTTTGGTCCTTCCCTTGTTCTCTCTCCTCTGCTTTTGGGCTTCCATGAGATAAAACAGTTCTGTTCTGCCACATGCTCCCTCAAATGACCTTCTGCCTTACCATGGGCTCATAACAATGGGGCCAAGCAACCATGGATGGAAACTTCTGAAACAGTGAGCCAAAATAAACCTTTCCTCCTTTATTTTCTCAGGTATTTTGTCACAGAGTGGAAAACTAACTAGCAGACTTAACCAAGTCAGCAAGATAAATTTTATTACTTTCAAAATATTAACAGAAAATAGACAAATCATCCATTCTGAAAGCAAGGGAAGAGAATATCTTTGTTTAAATGAGTATTTTAAAAATATATAAGCATTATATGCAGTACATAATATTTTTATATATTATGTATCAATAATATATAAATCTTACTGGAAATTCTGATTATTTTGATAAGATAAATGGACACAAAAGGATTATCAGGTTGCTTTTTTAAAATTGTGAAATAATACATTTTTTTGTAGAATATAGTTTAACTCTGACAATAACATTTGAACTCCAGAATCACACAAACTGGATCAAGATTTAGAAACAAATGATTATTTTAGTGAAAAGAGTGGAATGTTTGACCAATGCCCTGAAATTTAAAAGTATCATTGAAAGATTCCTTTGAAGTCATCCACTTATAAGCAAAGAAAATAGTGCTTTTCCAAGGTTCATTGGAGAATCACAGGGATGCGCTGGATTAAATTATTTTGATGTTTTGTGGTTACATGTAGATCTTCCTATTTGTGTCATTCTCCTCTGTTAGGAATATTTTCACTGTTGTCTAGACAGACTAAAAATGTGTGAGACAGACTTGTTGATTTCAGATGTTAAATTTGTCTCTTATAGTTCCATACAAGAAAAAAAGCAGATTAATGTTGCATTGTAAATTCCTTTAATCGAATTCAAAACAAAGATAGTTCCCAAGTACAATAGGATTTCCAACTACTATGGGGCAAAAGAGTACCCATATAGCCATCCTGTTTTTCATGTTCAGAACAGTATTCAATAAACCATATGAGATATTCAACATTTTATATAAAATAGGCTTTGTGTTAGATGGTTTTGCCTAACTATAGGCTAATCTAAGTGTTCCAAGCAGTTAGGCTAGGCTAAGCTATGATGTTTGGTAGGTTAGGTGTACAAAGTGCATTTTGACTGATGATATTTTTGACTTAATGATGGGTTTATCAGTATATAATTCCATTGTAAAGTTGAGTAGCATCTCTAATAGGATATTTTCCATTTTATTCACTCTAGAATATCAGACCATATCATCATAGGAAAATCTGTTAATAAAGTTGGTTAGGTATACAACTGTTACTATGTAGTCTCATATTTTATTTTCTATTTCATGCAAGTTTATCCACAATGTTGTCCTGCTATTCTTTGCCAAGTTTTTTTTTTCCCATTATGAAGATTCTGCTTTCATAAGCTTATGACCAGCTTGGTTATGAGTGTTGGTGAAACATGAGCAGCAGATATTTCCTTCAAGTTACTTTCCTTCTGCAATGACTAGAGGTATGAATCTGGATGACCTTCCAGATTTCTTCTTCTTGATTTTCCTTCACACAAGATAAATCACTATGATAAACTGCTTCCATGAATAACTTGTCTACTTAGGGAAAGCAGAAAGTCCAAGCAATAAATCCAATTTGATAGAGAACTATGAAGATGTCAACAGTAAATAATAATGCACTCTTTCCCAGTACACAAAGACTGTTTTGTTGTTGTTGTTTGTTTTTTTCTTGAATGGTATTGGGGATTGAACCCTGGGCCTCCCATGTGCTAGGCATGTCATGTATCACCCCACCTCCAGCCCCTAGCCAAGATTTATTTTTAACAATGGCTTGCTGCAAAATCATTTTCTGGGATGCAGGAAATAACTGGCCCTAATTCTGGATTGTTTTCAATAGCAGATATAATGAAGAATCATCAATTGCTAGATGTCAGAGCCAAAAATTAAACTGCATTCAAAAACCTAGAATAGGGGCTGAGGTGTAGATCAGTGGTACAGCATTTGCCTAGAATGCATGAGGCCCTTTGTTGTTTGATCCCCAGCAATGGGGTGGGGGGTGGGGGGAGAAAGACCACGATATTTGCTCTGCATTCTAATTTATAGAAATAGAACTTTATTGACTAAAAAACAGGATATGTAAAATAAAGAGGAAGCTCAGTCAAGCCATCCATTCCATATAGTTAATGTTTGGAATGAAAAACTTCCACATATTTTTGGCTTTTCAAATACAATATTTTATACCAAGTATTAACTTATGATGAGGTGTCCCTTTTTACTTCCATGCTACAGGCTTTAAGATATCTTAAGTGAAACACAAATGTGTATGCACACATACACATACACACAACATAAATGTCAATACATATCTAAAGCATTTTCCCGAGCAGGTGCAAAGATCCAACTGAAGATTTTTTAATAAGGCTTAGCCAACTTGATGTAAAACAAAAGGTTCCCAAATAGAGAATTTTTTTTTTCATGCAATGAACATGGTTGGAGAATAGAAATCTGACTCTTGGAGTTAAATTGACTCTGAACTCCCTAAAATTCTAAGAGTTTATCATTTTGTGAGTTAATTCCTCAAGTTATTCTCCCCATAAATGAGCTGCTTGGAAGAAGGAGAATGGTTTGGGAAGATGGGTTTATTCTTTCAGGCCACTAGTAGTCTACAAAAGTATCCTGTTAAAGAGTGATCACAAATGCGTACCTATTAGCTTAGCAGGTAACTGAAAGATGATAGGTGTTTTTAAAAACCTCATGCACTGATGAGCCTCACAGTTATGTCCATCACTGAAAGGACAGTTGTTTCATATTTTGACCATTTTGAATGAAATCTTGGCTCCTATGTCTTGAGAAGCACTTCTTATTCATTTATTTATTATTTATTTATTGGTATCAGAGATTGAACTCAGGGGCACTAAAACACTGAGCCACATCTCCAGCCTATCCCCATATTTTATTTGGAGACAGCATCTCACTGAGTTGCTTAGGCCCTTTGCTAAGTTGCTGAGGCTGGCTTTGAACTCTCAATCCTCCTGCCTCAGCCTCTCGAGCCACTGGGATTACAGGCATGTGCCACCATGCCTAGCAATGGGAAACACTTCTAGTGCTTATAAAAGACACAATCTTTCTCATCCTGTACTTCTATCTCCAAATACGTGAATTTTCTTTGGGTCATGACTCCCCAGCTTCCTCCTCATTCATTCCTGTCCTCTACTAGAGAACTTAAAACATTGAAGAAAAGCAGAGTGAAAGAAAAGATGGAGGCTAATCAGAGAAGACTCAATTCCTTTACTCAGCTGTAAGCCAGGCAGGGTGCAATATCATCTGCTGCTGTTATTGTGTGTTTGTTTGGTATGTGAGGGCTCTCAACATGTTCTTAGCAGAAAAATATGTCATGCTCAATTCAGGTGAGAGCCTTCCACAGAAAGCATTTCAAAAGAGCAAGAGAATCAAAAGAAGTATATTATTTTAAAGTACTCTTGAAATTTTAAATGTGTATAAATTCAGAGGTTTAGAAAACTCAAAAGCCATAGACAGTTTAGGAAGCCGAAGGCTGTGAATCTCCCTTTTCACTTAATCCATGCCTTATTTTGCATTCCTCGCAGGTAAGCAGGCAATGCCTAGAAGAGAAGCAAAAACAGGTAGTGGTTTGTACTTTGACAATAGAAGCTCTAGTCTTAACACAATGTTGTTTAGAGGAGTCTTCTGTTCTAAAGTTCACTAGCCCAATTTCTTCAGGAAAAATATTTGTTCTTAGTTTAAGATTCCCCAAATTTCATCCAAATAAAGCCAAGAACAAACTTTATGTTGAAACAGATGGTTGTTTTTGTGGTTGGAGTCACACAAAGGTTGAACATCTTGACTCTTTGAACTTGAGTAATTTCTAACAATAACATTAAAAAATCATAAATAAGCCAGGCACAGTGGCGCATATCTATCGCTCCAGCACTGAGGATGCTCAGGTGGGAGAAACACTTGAGCCCAGGAGTTTGAGGCCAGCCTGGGCAACGCAGTGAGACCTCATCTAAAAGAAAAAAAAATCATAAAATACATAGTGCATCTATGTAGTATTTAATATAATATAAGCCTATAGTGTTTAATATAATATAAACTTATGGAATTAGGTTTGGACACACATGAGCACACATAATTTTTTTTAATTAAAAAATTGCAAAGACATTTCCAGAAATAATTTTCCTGATTTGCAACAGTTTCCTTAGAATCTAACACAATACCAAGGAAAACGCACAGCTTTGTATTAGAAAAATACCCACACTTGAGGAATTGATGTCCTGGAGGCCCTTCCCAGTGTTAGTTTTGAAATCTTACAAATTCAATTCCATAAACATTTACTGAACACCTACTACCATGAGGAATTTGCAACAGGAAGACCATTTAAGCAGAACAGGATGAGGTGAATTCTATATAATAGAAATATCAACCTTGCTTGAGTGGGAAGGGTCATTCCAGAAGGCAGCAACACCATAAGCTGCTATTGCACGTCCCCAGAGAGATGGATGATGACCTCCACCCTCCTCCTTTTATCACTTATTTTACCCCATTGCTTTGAGAATTAGGTAGAAATCCTTAGTGTGGCATAAAATCCTTCAGGGAGTGACCCTTACTTGCTTTGCCCTCCAGATGTCTTCTACCATTTCCCAATAGCTCTCTATGCTTCAGCCATAGGGTGTATCCATGGGTTTATTAAAGAATTAATCAATCAGGTTTCCTTCTCTGAGCAGGCCATTCCTGGCCTAGCATTTCCTTTTTCAAACTTGCTATAACTCCCACTGGTCTTTGAAGATTCAAGTCAAGCATCATCATCTCCTTTAAGAAGGCCCCTTCCTTAAGCTTCTAGACCTCAACCTAGCTAGGGGCTCTTCCCTCCTTCCCCCTCACTGGAAATCAAGTAGCTTTGTGAATCGTTGCTTCTAGATGTACTGGTAATGGCCCTTCACAAGGGCTTAGCAATGGTTACCAGCCACTAATGTGAGCCCAGAGTGCAGCTGCTGTGGCTACAAGAGGGCAGGCAAAACAGAGCTATAGAATAAAGAGCTCAAAGCAACCCTGGAGACCATTTACTTCAACCGCCTTCTTCTAAAATGCAGAACAATGGAGACTGTCTGGAAAACACAGATTTCAATCTTGGTTTATAATTATTATGGAACCTGAAGTTGGATAATAGCAAAAGAACTTCCTGAAATTAAAGAGGAAGAGGGAACAGTTAAGAAAACTTTCTCCTTTGCATGTATTGATTTTATAAAACTTTCCCTAAAGAGACCAGAATCTTGTGGTCAATTGCTTTTCAGAAAGCTGACCCTACAACTCAGCTTTGTAAAGATGGACTGATGTTGGAGTTGTCTGTAAACATAGAATTAATGACTCTCAGGCAACATTGCTGCTAAAATGGAATATGTAAGGGTTTGAAAACAAATGGGCTGAGCCTTACCTATGGCTAATTGAAAAACAGGATATGGCTAACTAGGTCACCTCAGAAAGTCTCTGCATCTCCTTGCTGTATGTCTGTGCACCTCTCTGGGTTGCATGTGGCTCAACAGGAAGTGACAGTGTTTAAGGTACCAGTATAGGACTAGGGAAGGTGGCTCTCCAAAGTTTTGCAAATGGAAAAAGAACTTGGGGTGCCCTGATTTCTAGTCCAATGTTGTTTTCACTATATCATGCAGCCTCTCAAATAGAATCTACTGAGATGGGTGAGGGGTCTTCAGAGAAATGTGTCTTTAACACTAGTCCCATAACACTATAAAAGAAATAGCACTTATGAGTCATGAATAACCATTTCTATTCCTTGCAATATCCCATGGAAACAATTCTGATCATCATTTTATACAGATGAGGAAACTGAAGATTAGAGAGTTTAAGAAATGTATTCAAGGTCATATGGCTTAGGAAATGGATGGAGTGGTTTTCAACCCAAAATCTCCAACAGCAGAGGTAGTCCTGTGAACTCCACTGTCCTGCTGCTTATGTCCCCCAGAGAAAACTACAATATATATTTCATGCTATTAACATGTTAAAGGCTCTCAGAAGCCTTCCATAAGGAAGACCGTTTAAATTTTACGTAACCTTGTGATGGTAGAAGCCATTTGTGCTCATCAAGATATTCTTCAGAGACTTGCACAATGCCTTGGACATAATAGGTACTCATTAGATATTGTTATAAAATGAAATAGTTAGCTAATTTAATAATTATCGAAGTTGAGTTGTAACAACTCAAAACTTGAAGGTTAAAGAGGGTTTTTAAATGAAGGAATTTAAAAAATGTTTAATGTTACAGTCAGTGACCCTTCATTTAATTACTTATAATTATCTTCATTATAATCTCTTAGTCAAGCAGGTTACAAACCTGTTATGCTCTGGACCAAAACCAGCTCCACGCAGCTGATCTTCAAAGGAATGGAATTTACTCTGGCATACTCCTATGTATGAAGCCTTTCCAAGGCCAAATCCTAAGATGCCAGCAACTGGAAAAGCAAGAAACATAGGTAACTGAAAGATTCAGAATCTCTTTCGTTAATTATCATCTTGAATTTTTTTTATTAAACCTAGTCTTTTTTTTTTAAGTGCTGATTTTGAACCCAGGGGTGCTTTACCACTGAGCTATATCCCAACCATTTTAATTTTTTATTTTGAGACAGGGTCTCAACAAGTTGCTTAGGGCTTCACTAAGATCCTCCTGTTTCAGTCTCCAAAATCACTGGGATAGGTATGTGCTACCACACCAAACATCAAGACTAGTCATTTTTATCTAAAAGTACTATGGTAAATCAATGAACAAAAACTCTGAGGGTGAAGACCCTATCAAAGAGCAGGACTGTGAACCAGAGACTTTCTGATCTCTTCTTTGAACTGGAAACAGAATGACCAGGATAGAGCAAGTGAAGGTGCTGTCTCAGAGATGGGGCAATGAGAGGGTGGCAGCTGTTAAACAGATGGCTTAGGCCACCAAGGAGAGAAGGTGGGGATCTGCACTGTGACTATTGGAAGCCTTTAAATCACAGGTAGGAAAGCTCCTTTACTTTCTTTAAGGTCTTGGAAGGGTTGGGAGCAACCTCTAGAAGTGATGTCATGAGCGCGGGAAACCTCCTATGAAGGAAGTTGTTGGGAGCAGTGATTTGAATGGTTGTCTCTGACCTACAGCAGGAGCTGCGCCTGCACTGGAAATTTCCCATGAAAAGGTGCAGGTCAAGACTGCCCAGTTGCTATGGTGACACCCTGCTTAAAGGAGATTGTGTGCTAGGCACAGGACTATCAGTCTTGACCCTAAGTGCAGACATCAGCTGCCAGGTACAGAGAATTATGAAAGTAAATTGATAATTATATTTGTCATATAGTACTTTGACTTTCAATCCTGCATGCTTTCTCACAGAAAATCCTTTTGATGAGAAAACCCCATATGATAAAGTTACTGAGCTAGCTCTGGGTCATTCATCCTCCATCAGTGGGTGATGTCCCACCTAGCCCCAGCCTTTTCTCTATGTCTTTGTCTTTTCTCAATCCCCCAACGCCCCTTGGTGATTTCTGAATTAATGGCTGTGCTGGTTGCAGCAAAAAATCTTGAACCCTCTGGCTGGGAATGAGATTCGAGATTGTACCTTCTTTGTACATAGAAGGTCTATGTGTATCAAGAAGAGGAAGAAGAAGAAACCCCAAGTGTGTGGCAAATTTATTATTGGAAAATCCCCAGCTCATTACTCATTTTTAATGTCCATGACAGATAATCTTTTGAAAAGATTGGCCAGCCCAAGAGAAGAAAATAAAAACCCTAAGGTCTTATCATTCAGATGCTCTACTGTTGATAATTTTGTTAAAGCTGGCCCTCCATATCCATGGGTCACACATCCTCAGTCAACCAACTACAGACAAAATATTTGAAAGTTTGGGTCAGTACTGAACAAGTACAAACTTCTTTCTTTCAGTATTCCCTAAGTCATATAGTATAACAACTATTTGTACAGTATTTACATTGTTTTAGGTGTTGTAAGTCATCTAGAGATGATTTAAAGAATACAGGAGAATATGCAGAGGTGGTATGAAAATATTATGCCATTTATATAAGGGAATTGAGCATTCATGGATTTTGGTATCCCGGAGGGGTCTTAGAACCCATCCCCATCAAATCTGGAGGAACAACTGTATATATCTTGTCAGTCCCTCTTAGTTCATGCTTTAAAGAGGATTATCTGGGGAGAAGTCCCTATACACTTCCTGTATATCAGGAAGTGTTGAATAAAGTAAGAATGTAAAGCTATAGAAAATAGTGACTAATTTTTCAGAGTCAATGCAGGCAAGTTGGTTAAAATGGACATTCCTTTCCCTAGCGGTTAAAAATATCACTCTTTCTTCCAAAATGAATCTGCTTTTTTTACTTTAATGACTTACGTGCAAGTTTAGGCAATGATCCAAGTCTTGGGTTAGCTGCTAAGTAACCTAAGGAGTAATATATAGATAATTAATATTTTATTTTGCAACCTACTTAAATTTTTAAGGAAAACTGCAAAATTTAAGATGCAAAATTTCTTAAATGTATACATAGTCTTAATCTAAAGAAACAATTTTAAAATAATTATGATTCACTTCTTGACTGAGTTTAACTCTTGAATAGCCATTTTAGGCAAATAGCATATATTAGCTTTAACATATAGAAAAAGAATATGAAACAAAGACTGATTTAAGTTCAAAAAATGACTCACTATCCTGTTCTCTCTTAAAGTAACTCAATATAGGAAGTTTCAGTTTAGAGATTCAATCTGTATGTGTGTGTGTATGTGTGTGTGTGTGTGTGTGTGTGTGTGCCTGTGAGCACATTCGTGCATGTGTTTATTTAAAGCTTTTTTATCTTGCTTTGACTAGGGGCATTCTACCACTGAATTGCATCCCCAGTCCTTTTTTTTTTTTTTTTTTTTAAAGAGGGTCTTGCTAATTTGCTCAGGCTGGGATTGAATTTGCAATTCTCCTGCCTTAGCTGCCCAAGTGCTGGGATTATAGGCATGTGCTACTGTCACAATTTTTAAATGAAAATAGTAGGGGCTGGGTTTGTGGTTCAGTGGTAGAGCTCTCTCCTAGCACATGTGAGGCCCTGTGTTCAATCCTCAGCACCACATATAAATATAAAATAAAGGTATGGTGTTCAATTACAACTAAGAAAATAATAATAAATAAGAAAATATTAAAACTTGTGGCTGGGTACAGTGGCACACACCTGTAATCCCAGTGGTGTGGGAGGCTGAGACAGGAGGATCACAAGTTCAAAGCCAGCCTCAGCAATGGCAAGGTGCTAAACAACTCAGTAAGACCTATCTCTAAATAAAATATAAAAAAAGGCTGGGGATGTGGCTTAGTGGCTGAGTGCCCCTGAGTTCAATCCCAGGTACCAAAAAAAAAAAAAAAAAAAAAAGAAAGAAAGAAAGAAAAGAAATATTATAACTTGAGGTGGGCAGGATAGTAGCCCCTAACAATGTCCACTCCATAATCTTAAGAAACTATAAATATGTTATAATACATAAAAACTTAGGTAGAAAGTAGAATAACTTCGACATAATCACAACAATCCCTGAATGTGGAAGAGGGCATTGGAGAGGACCAAATATGACAATGTGAGAAAATGTTGGCTCAGCATTGCTGGCTTTAAAGACATAAGAGGGGGCTGCCAGCAAATAAATGCAGGAAAAGGAAAGGAAGATTAGAAACTTCCAGAAGAAATACAACTGGAACAATGTCTTGATTTTAATCCAGTGAGACCCATTTTGGATTTCTGGCCTCTGGAACTGTAGGTTAATAAATCTATTGTTTTTAAGCCATGGTGTCTGTGATAATCTGTTACAATAACTATGGAAAACTAATATATAATTCTGAAAAAATATATATGCACAGATGCAGAGATGATAGATCTTGAGTAGTTTAATATTTATAAAACATAATTCTATGGATGTCCTGGCTGCATTTTTTTTTTGCTGTGTCAGAAATAGCCTGATGAAGGCTTGTTCTGATTGATGAATATATTCCTATTAAAAGACTATCTTCAAGTGATAAAAATGAAATCATATTTAATACATGACCTTTACAGCCAGAATAATATTGATTAAATTGGAATTCTCCTGGTTACATGACACAGGTAATCTTTGAGATCCAAAAAAGAACTAGGACATCTTCCTTCATATTTACCAGGAAGAAATAGTCCTTTTAAAATCTTGGTAATCTAGAAACATCCAATAAATTGAACTTAAACAGGGTCAGAGGCCTTGTTGTTACCTGGGGACTACACAATGTGTAAGAATTCTCTGTCTAGGTGGAGACAAAGAAGAGAATGAGGAACGAGGAATGGAGAGGAAAACTCAGAGGTAAGCAGAGGTCACTGTAGGGAGAGACACGTGGCTGCTAGTCCTCATGGTCTCTTTTATGCATCAGACAGGGTACCCTCCTTAGTTGGTTTAGCTTCTTGCTGGGACAAATGGCTTGGTGGGCAGAGCTTGGGTGGACTTCCACTCCACTCACCTCCTACCTGGAGCACCCTTCTGTAGTGAACCATCGGCCCAGTCACAGCCAGAGGCTGGAAGGCACAGGGACTCTGGTATAATGGAAGGCACTGTTTTAGTTTCCTATGATTGCTATAACAAATTACCACCAATGTAGTAGCTTAAAGCAAGTTTATTATAGTTCTTGAGGTGGGAAGTCTCAAATTGGTCTCACTAGTTTAAAAATAAAGTTGGAACTGCATTCTTTAAGTGGGCTGCTTTCTTTGCTAGGTTGTCTGGAATTTCCAGATCCTAGAGGCCTCCATCATGCCTTAGCTCATGGCCCCTTCCTCCATCATCAAAGTCTTGCAATATTGATTCCTTATGCTGTCCTCTCTCTGGATCTGTCTTTTCTTCCCCTTTGTTATTTTAAAAGAACTTTAAAATTTTTAGGTTTTTTTTTTTTCTTTTCATCCTTGGGATCAAACTCAGGATTTCACACATGCTAGGCAAACACGTCACCACTGAGCTATATGCAGCCCTTTGCATTTTCAGATAGGATTTTTTGGGGGGTTACTGAGGATTCAACTCAGGAGCATTCGACCATTGAGCCACATCCCTAGCCCTATTTTATATTTTATTTAGAGACAGGATTCACTGAGTTGTGTTGTGCCTCACAATTGCTGAGGCTGGCTTTGAACTCGTGATCCTCCTGTCACAGCCTCCCCAGCTGTTGGAATTACAGGAGACATAGGATTTTGCTAAGTTGTCATGTAGTGGCACCCCCTTTCTCCACAGAAAAGTCTTAACTGGGTTTCTCCAAAATCTTCACCATGGTTGACTTTAGGACTGTCAGCAAAAGAGTCTCTACCAAAGAGTTCAAAGTAGATAAACTTCCAATTTTCGTGTTGCCCTGTTTGACTTGGCCACTGGTTAGGAAGAAATCAGCACTTCAGGTTCTGGACACCCTCTTACTAGTTTTCCACAAATGTGTATCCAGTATAGTAGTTTGTAGAAATGTGTAAACAAGGCCTCTGGCCTTGAGCTGGGGCTTCACAGAGATGTCTACATTTCTAAGATAATAGAAGTTACCAATTGGGCTCTGTGGTAACAGCTGGCAGGGGGGAGGAAAGAAAGGGGAGAAGAAGCTCTCCCCTTCTCAGGTGCTATTTTTAAAGGATTAACTTGCCCAGAACAGTGAAAGAAAAAAACTGCTTTTATGTGAACTTTTGCAGACTGTGAACTTCTGAGCCCCTCCCCTTATATGTTGGGTATAAAATTCTGAAACTATCTGAACTCTGGGTTTAGAGGATTGATTGATTACAGCAAAAGCTGTGCCCTCTGAACCTGGCTGCAGCCAAATAAAACTGTTCCAGCTATCTTCAGTGCCTTGCCTCATCTGTCCCTACAACAGGTAGGCTGGCTTTGAACTTGTGATCCTTCTGTGTCAGCCTTTTGAGTAGCTGGGATTATAGTTGTGTGTCACCATGTCTGGTAAAGACTCTTTTGGTCAAATTGGGCTCCCTGGATTACCTAGGATAATCTCCCTATTGTAAGGTCAGCTGTTTAACAACCTTAATTATATCTGCCATTTAATTTCCCTTTGCCAGGTAATCTAATATATTCACTCATTCCAGAGTCTAAGATCTCTTCTGTGGGGACAGGGACCTATGCTAAAAAGAGGCAGAAGCATGCATTAAAAAAATCCTTCACCAAAAAAATACATGCCCAGTGCTGAGGAGCTGCCAGAAGGGTCACAGAAAACTGGACTCTCTGAAGTTAAGCAATTTAACAAATATTGAATCTTACCTTGGTGGACTAGTCCCTGGGTGACAAGCATGCTTACAAGAGAGAAAGGCAGAGCTGTAAAACAAAAATGTCCTTCAATATTGGTATCTTAATATCATCTCATTCCAGTCAGAATGGCAGCTATTATGAAGACAAACAACAATAAGTGTTGGGGGGTATGCGGGGAAAAAGGTACACTCATATACTGCTGGTGGGACTGCAAATTGGTGCAGCCAATATGGAAAGCAGTATGGAGATTCCTTGGAAAGCCGGGAATGGAATCACCATTTGACCCAGTTATCCCTCTCCTCGGTCTATACCCAAAGGACTTAAAAAAGCATACTATAGGGACACAGCCACATCAATGTTGATAAAAGTACAATTTACAACCCAGATGCCCTTCAGTAGATGAATGGATTTTAAAAATGTGGCATATATACACAATGGAATATTACTCAGCAATAAAAGAGGATAAAATCATGGCATTTGCAGGTAAATGGATGAAGTTGGAGAAGATAATGTTAAATAAAGTTAGCCAATCCCAAAAAACAAATGCCAAATGTTTTCTCTTATATAAGGTGACTGACTCATAGTTGGGTAGGGAGGGGGAGCATGGGAGGAATAGCCAAACTCTAGATATGACAGAGGGGTGGGAGGGGAAGAGAGGGGGCAGGGGATTAGCAATGATGGTGGAATGTGACAGACATCATTATTCAAAGTACATGTATGAAGACATGAATTGGTGAGAATATACTTTACAAACAGAAATATGAAAAATTGTGCTCTGGGCTGGGGCTGTGTCTCAGTGGTGGAGCGCTCACCTAGCATGTGTGAGGCACTGAGTTCAATCCTCGGCACCACATAAAAATAAAATAAAGATATTGTGTTCACCTAAAACTAAAAAATAAATATTAAAAAAAGAAAAATTGTGCTCTAAATGTGTAATAAGAATTGTAATGCATTCCGCTATCATGTATTTAAAAATAAAATAAATTTAAAAAATATTGGTAACTTAAAACATGGTGCCTCACCTAGAGGTCAGGGGAGAATTGCTCAGAGATTTTGGTTTTACTTCCTTAAATGTAAGTTTTATTCATTTGTTATTTTACTTATTCAAAAAGTATTTATTACGCACTATAGGGACAATTCTCTTGGGGTCTTCCCTGGTCACTCAGCCTGTTTCATACCATTAGTTTGACCAAATATAAAACCCATTTTACTCCATCTCTGATGTTATAGTGTGAATCTGAAGTGTCCACCAAAGGATCCTTAGCTGGTGGGCATGTTGGGAGTTGGTTGGAAACTTTAGGAGGTAGGGCTTACTCGGAGGAAGCATCATTGGGAATGTTTCCTTGCAGTATGTATCTTGTCCTTGATCCCTTTCCTTCTCTATCTTTGCCTCTCAGCTGCTGTGAATTAAGCAACCACATTCTGCCATGTCCTCTTACCATGATGCTCTGCCTCATTGCAGGCCCAGAAACATGGAAGCAAGTGGCCAGAGACTGACACCATGAGCCAAAATAAATATTTCCCCCTTTAAGTTGATTTATCTCAGGTATTTTGTCACAGTGATGAAAAACCAACTAATACATCAGACACCCAAATTTACTGAATGGTTGACTTGTACAAGATTTTGAACACTACATTTGACATGAGCATCTTAGTTCTTGAATTGGGGAACTGCCTGTATCTATACGCATACATATATGTATACATCAATTTTCAATCCTACATAATTGTTAGGAAGCACTATATAATAAACTGCATAGTCTTCATCTATATTTGTTAGTTTTTTAACCAAATTTGCTTTATCTCTATTTTTTTTCCTGAAATATTTGAAATTTGTAAACATCATGACACTTCATCACTGAATATTTCAGAAGATATCTTCTAAGAACAAGAATATTTCCCTACAGAGTCACAAGACCATTAGAGGTACTCCAGGATAATTAACTATTGCACAATCTATATTCAAATATCTCCAAATGGTCTAATAATGTCTTTCATAGCTGCTGGCTTTTTCCAATACAGAAAATCAAGGATCCTATTTACTCTCGAATCTGCTTTCATCTTTCACTGAGGAGAGTTCCCTGTTTTTTTTTTTTTTTAAAGTCTATAAGACATTTTTGTCCACCAATTTGGAGGTCTGCCTGAAGATCCAAATGGAAGATTACAACATGACTTCATTCATGTTAAATATGTACAATGTTTAGCTATGCCTTTTTGAACAGACAATTAGTTTGGCAAAGGCAGTTTCTAATTCTGTCAAAATGTGCCAAATGACTTCTCTCAAATGCAGAGAGCAGTGGTAAACATTCAGCTCTTCCTGGCAACCAAGGAAATTCAAACAGTAACCAATTTTTCCATCTATAACTAGTTGCCTGGTGGCAGGCAAATGGGTCATAATGAAGTGTTAATCTACTAGTGCGCAATTAAATTATTTACTCATAGGTTGTCAGAAAAGACATGCATTTCTAGAAGCACAATCAGTAATCATGGTAATGCATAATGAATATCAACTCCTACAGAGTGTTAGTTCCAAAACTGGTGATGCTGAATTTGAATGATTTATGAAATCAAAATGAGTATTGTAAAGCAAAAATTATCCCTGTGTCAGCAATGTTGCACAATACTGATGCTCTGTCTATAAGCTCTATTATGCCATTCTCAAACAACAAATCATGAATTTTCTAAATTGGAAGAAACTTTAATGCACAGCCTGAATTCACACCCTTATTTTATGTAAGGCAGGCTCAGAAAGAGGAAGCAACTCAGCAGAAAAGGCTATTCAGAGACAATATAAGAGAAGCATTAATGGAACACTGCCATTTTTCTTTCTCTCAACAATATTTAGGAGAAATTCTCTATGTGTGAAGCATTGTGCTAGGCTCTGGGATGAACTTGACATTATTTCTGACTCTTTGAAGCTTAGACTCCAGTGGAGGTTAGAAAGATCTAGTCTTTGGTAATAAAGACATTCTAGACAATAATCTTGGCACATGTTCTTGCTCATGTGAAGGAAAGAGTTAAATGAGCAGCAGTTTTTGCTAAGTAAGGCAAAGTGCTCCATAATCAGATATTATCTCTGCCCTAAAAAATTTTTCCAGATGGATTTAACCCAAAACATCCCTGAATATCCAAGTTCTTTAGGGATTTATGCAAACACTGCTCAAAAATAAATCATTCCTGTAGTTCTAATAGGATATGGAGGCAGTTTATTGCATCAAATGCAATGCTAGTAAAGATTGAGCAGGATGCAATTACCTCTCTTCCAGAAACTTTCTTCTTGACATTCTCGAATAATCTTGGCTATCTCTCCTCTGTGGATGTGCAGTTTTGATTTTGGGCAAAACAACATGCTCTGTAAGGAAAGTTACATGACGAGTTAACTGAGATTATCAGAAAAACATCTACTTGGTTTTCCCTGGAGGAGGAGGTCTCTTCTCTTGTTACTTGGCTTGTGTTTTGGGCTGGCTGCGCCTATATACAGAAATGGCCAATTCCATAAGCTTCCCAACTGGACCTTCTAGATGGACTGAGGCAAAGAAAGAATCCCAGTTGGAGAGACAGGGTGATTCACTGACTTGAGTGCATGAAGTGGCTACTGGTCAAGCTGAATTACTGCTGAGGCCATGTGTGCTTTCACCTCCATGCCTCTGTCCATGGGCTTGACTATACTTAGAGTGCTATTCCCTCTCTCCCTTCACCTACCTGCTCTTAAGATCAAGCTCAGTGTTGCCTCCTCAGTGAAGAGAAGGATTTGCTGATTTTGCCACTGTTCCTTTTCAGGCTCTTTGTAGTAGGTATCAGTGTGGATGGTGGTCACCATTTCTTGAGCACTTTCTCATGGGCCAGGCACTATGCCAAGCACTTGACATGCATGATGCTATATTAACAAGGTGGAGGGATTCATAGCGTCTATGCCTTCAGAGATCTACAAGCAATGCAAGCTGGCATCCTCCCTCTTCTTTCTCTCCAACTCTCCTTGGCACAGTACAATTGCAGTGGTCAGCATGAATCACAACAACCAGTAACATGGTAATGCACAATGGGAAGAAGCAATTGCCATCAGTCTCTACTTACCTCCATTTCTTAGCACCTGTGCTCCTCAGCAAGCACGCCTCCTTTCCCAGGTAAATCAAATCGGTCCCTGACTTACTGATGGTTCAGATTTTTCCATTTTATGATGGCATGGCAGTGATACGCATTCAGTAGAAGCCATACTTTGAATTTTGATCTTTTCCTTATATTGCTAGCAATAGGCAATGAAATATTTTTATGTGATGCCAGGCAGCAGCATTTAGCTGTGGCCACCTTTCCCCTAGGCAATTGTGAGGATGAAAAGTTCATGCTCTGTACTGTGTTGTGTTTCTAAGCTAGGATGTGTTTCAGTAGGATAGATGTTTACAATGCATTTTCGACTTAAGATATTTTCAACTTATGACAAGATTATTGAGTTGTATCTCCATTGTAAGTCAAGGAGTATTGCATTTGTTCTTGTCCTGGCTATGGCTGCAGCAGAAAGAAGAAAAATGTCATCCAAAAACACACATATACACACAGCTGACTGTCGCAGTTGCTCTGAGTCCTAGAGTCAAGATTAGAGTTCGTGCACAGACTCCTGGGCGGAGCTCTGGTGATCCTTTTCCTTCACGGCTATAAATGTTTTATGGCTCTCTGTTTCACAGAGGCAGTTCAGGTATCCAATGTCTTCTGCTTGTGACTTGTTATCATTGGTCTGTTTGCCTCTCCTATAGTTTACTTTTTTTTTAATTTAGAGAATTATAGTTACACATAGTAGATGGGCTCATTTTGACAAAATCATACATGAAAGGAATTTGATTTTAATCCCCATTTTCTCCTCCATAAACAATTTTAGCTTGATATGTTTACCCCAGAGAACAAGTAAGATCACTGGCCAAGATCACTCCATTTACCCATCAAATACTTGCTCTTTTTCTTTCTTTTTAAAACCTAAAAATTTTATTTATTTATCTATTGTGGTACCGGGGATTGAACCCAGGGGCACTTTACCACTGAGCTGCATCTCCAGCCCTTTTTACTTGGTATTTTGAAATTTTGTGACAAGGTTTTACTAAATTGCCCAGGCTGGCCTTGAACTTGCAATCCTCCTGCCCTAGTCCACTCAGTAGCTGGATTACAGCTACTGGCACCGGCACATTTTTTTTTTTTTTTTTTTTGAGTTAGGGTCTCAGTACATCTTCCAGGTTATTCTTGAACTCCTGGACTCAAGTGTCTCTTGTTCAAATATTTGTTTCTGAAACACATAACATCCATTCTGAACAAGTTGGAAAAAGTGTGCTCATGTTAACACTTGGGTTCTCAATTTGATGGCTAATTAGTTATTAAGAATTCTGCTATCCTAAAAGCAACATCTGTCGGTAGCATATGCTTTGTATAATTATCCTTAGTAAGAAAAATATGAAAATAAGCAAAATGTACCCTTCTGTTAGAGACAACCAAGAGTTTTGCTCTGCTGCAGTAAACTTTTGCAGTCACTGACAGCCTCCATTAAGAGTTAGCTAAGCTGGATCCTAAATGGGAAAGAGTCAAGAAAGTTTTTGTAAGTACAACTTTTGTAAGTACAACCCACATATTCCTTCTGTGTTCTCGGTACCCATCCAACAAGGTGTCAGACCGGAAAAAAACAAAATAAAACAAAACACAAAACCAAGTAAGATCGCTGGCCAAGAGTGGGGTTTAACAAAAGTTTTGTATGATATTCCTCTTAACATGGCAGACTCCCCAAATTAAAAACATACCTGCTTGCTCAGTGGTGGCAAGTGGGGACCTTTCTCTTGGCTCCCCTGAGTGGACACTGATGCCATGGTGACTTTGTCCTTGCCTCTCTTCTTGTTGAGGGCTCTGCTTACTCTTTGACCAAATGGCTATGGAAAATAGAAAAGAATCACTGGACCTTGAAAAAAATCACTTTCACCCCTAATCTCAATGGCACTTATTTGGAAAAATTACTTTCATGTTGTCCCTAGTCTTAACCATCTACAAACTTAATTTCTAATGTCAACCCCTCACACTACATATCCACATAACTCACTAATGGTGACAGATCATATTGAGAGTGAAATGTCACACTGTGCATAGTGAACTGTTTTCCTGCCTATAAACTGTATTCTAAAAAATAGTTTCATTCCACGACAAGGTCATTAACTGCACAAACACTTATCAAATGTCTATTATGCACCAAGTCTGAGGATACAAAGTATAAGATAAAAAAAAAAACTGCTGAAGGAATGAGAGTCTAAAGGGGAGGGCAGATAAACTGACAATTGTGTCATATGAGAAGCACTCCTTCTCCTAGAGGCATGTATGGGGTGCTAAGGAAGAAGAGTGAGAACAGTGTATTCTGTCTGCTAGGCCTAAAGGCCCCAACGAGACTGACTTGTGAGATTTCAAGAGGATGTCCAGTGGGTGGATGGATTCTAGGGGCAGGAGGACCAATTTGGAAAAATAATGCAATAGTCCAGGCAAGAAGCTGCAGAGACCGGAAATTAGATGCCAATAGGAAGAATAGGGATGATAAACTGGGGTTTGGAAATGTTGGATTTGGGTGCCTGGGTGCAAACAGTGGAATTAGTCTGGAGAGATTAGACTATTTGAGGACTGGGGTTTGAAGTTCCAGATGATTCATAGACTTGAGAGATAAATTTTGAATAAATGTATCTAAAAAGAATATTGGAGAATGTGAACATTGTACTCAAGGGAGTATCGACAAGGAAAAAACAAAAAAGAAGGCAGACTTAAAAAATGCAATGATCAAGTAATTACATGGTTCAGGAGATTAGATTTTGAGTTTGGCAAAGATGGATACACTCCAGGTAGGTCACAAGTCTCCTCCTACTCCCCTCAAGACTACTCCTGACTTTCTGCAAACATCTTATCACACACAGTTCTGTTTCCTGCATTAATTACTAAACCATAAGGTGTATGAGCAAAGGTGGCCTCTACTTGCACCCAATTTCACTTTAGGTGCCCAGTGTTACTGTAGAGGCAGCACAGTATCCTGTAGTGCTAAGTCTCTGCATTCAAATCCTGTCTCTCCCTTTTGCTAGCCCTGTACTTTGAGGCAAGTCAGTGTGTCTATGCCTCAGCTTTCTCACCTGTTCAGTGGATACAATGGGCACAGCCGTCTTGAGGGGCTGTTGCCAAAATGAAGGATGAGGAATGAAGCCTATAGAAAGCCCCAGCTAAGGAGTCGGTACTCAGTGGGTATATGAGCAGCTGGGGCCCTGGGCACCTTATGTTTTGAGAACCCCTAGAAATTCTTTGCTGATCTTAGAATGTTTTTGCTCAATCGGGCATTAAATGTGCAAAGCTAGCACATCCTCCAGGTTTGGAGGTTAGGTTCCCCTTGCACCCAGTTGTATCTGGGTCCACATCTAAGCAAGGCTTCTGAGGGGCTGCCTTCCGAGTGCAGCTCCCACCACCCACACCCAGGTCGCACGGGCTTCTCCAGTGGTGGGGAAGGGGACAGGGAATGCTCACAGGTGGACATTGGCTGCAGGATGGGGGTGTTTGTAGAATGGACGAGGAGGGGTGCTATCCAGAAGTGACATACTGGAAACTGCGTCAACCCCAAGTCCCCCCAAACCCCGACCAGGGCCACCCCCTCCCCCAGACGGTGTGGCTGATGGTCAGGGACCAGAGGCAGGAGGGAGCGGAGGGGTTGGAAAGCGGCCAACGCCAGCCGCGCACCCTTCAAAGGGCTGCATTGTCTATGCGCCTGTCCCGAATACCCAGAAGGAAAGCGGACATCCCTCCCGTTGTCACCTCCCCCAACCCCGGGGCTCACCCATGGGGGTGGGGGTCGCTTCCCAGGCCGCGTCCCCGGCGCAGATCGCTTCCCTTAGCGGCTGCGGCCCTCTCCCGGCGCCTTGCTCACCCCCCTGCTCGGCCGCAGCCCCGCGCCGAGCCCGAGTCCCCTGTCCCCGGCGCCCCCGGCCCTCACCTTTCTTCCGCAGATCCCTCTCCTTCCTTCCTTCTTTCCTTCCAGCTTCTTTTGCTCCGCCCCCTCACCTCGCAGCTTATCGCTCGCTTGAGTCACCGCGTCAAAGTGCATCCCCACCCCCACTGGCAGTCTTTCTGGTGGTGACAATCAAGAGAGGCTGAACCCCAGCTTTTGCCACCACTCCGGTCCCCCTCCACGGTCCCAGGCCCTGTTCTGACACCGGGCAGATTCCACCTCCTCAGGGTCTATCAGATGACTCCCTCCTCCCCACCATCACTGCAGCAACCGTTTCCCCTGGCACCCTCCCGGGGAGCCAGGCCACCCTCCCCGTGTGCAGTCCGGTCTACAGCCCTTGAGGGTGAGCACGATTATCCTCACTCTACAGGCCAGGTTGTGCAAGGTCACCCAGGAGTCCGGAGTCACACTCAGGCCAGCTTGGTCCCTGGCTTGGTCCTCTGTCCGTGGACTTGTCCCTTCTCCGCCACCTGCTACTAAACTGTGGGGGCAAAGTTACCTCCTGGGGGGAGTGCCTTTAGGGCTCTTCCCTGGGCTGACAGACAGGGACTCCTTGGGGGTGTTGAGATGGAGAGAGATTCTGAATCGCAGTGAAGGCTCTCATCACCTTTTCCTTCTGTCCCAATCTGTCTCCAAGACTTCAGCCTCAGCCCTGGCCCAGAGCTTGCCTTTCTTTGATGCCTACCACCCACCCAGGGCTTTTTTCTGTTCTTCATGCTCTCTCAGCTCTTTTCCACCCAAGCCCTGGCACGGAGGCCTCCCCTTGCCTGGATCCTCTCCCCATGACACCCGCCTGGCCCTTTCCTATTCATGATTCCCTACCGTTCTTCAGCAGAACCTTTCTTGTGGCCCAGCCCTGTAAAAAATCAAACCTTTTCTTCTCTTTCACAGCACAGGCTGCTATTGTTTTCTCTTACAGCACTGTTCACAGTTGTTATTATGTATTTATTATGTGTACAGTTGTATAAAGCCTTCCCTTTCCTTTCATGAAGAGCAGAACAAGATGGACTCTCTTTTGTTCACCATCAAGTCCTTTGCATCTCAGACATAGGAAGGCCTTCATAAATATTTCCTGAATAAACCATCTGGGTTCAAAGATTGTGAAGACACTGCTGTTTTTTGAAGATTTGTATCCGCGTCTCCCTCGCTCCCCAGTAGATTTCCTTAGACCACATCTATTCATGTGATTTAGTGAGTTCTTTCTTCCCATAGGGTGTTTTCTTTTCTCTTCACTCCTTTTCCTCTAAGTCAAAGGGTGCATAGTTCTGCTAATTTTATATTGTGTTGCTAGAAACCAGAAATGTGATTTGGCCATTTTATGGTCTGAAGGGATCAGCTTTGTAATTGGTTTTGTGGTATATATGAACAGCCCTCCATTACATTGAAGTCTACCTTGTAACAAATACTTGAACAGGCATTTGTCCTTCAACTTCCTGCTTTAGTATAATTCATGCCCCAGCCCCCTCTACTTTCTGCCAGAATGTTCTAATAGGTCACCTTAGATAACTAGAAGTTAACATATGTAATGTGCATGGATTATGAGTTCCCCTGTTGGTATATGTTGGGCAAATATGATGTATCCATGTTTCATTCTGAGCATATTCAGAGATAAAAGAGAAAAGACACAGTTCCTTTCCACAAAGCATTTGTTACTTTCCAAAAGATAGAAAATAACATAGACTTGGCCCTAGAAATTGGTTACACTGAATGGAACCTTTGTTATTTTTAATTCAGCATTCTACAAGAATTAAGGATCATGACTATAAAGCTGATTATTACTGGTTAATGATACAAAATAGTGACTAGTTTAGGAAGTGCTAAATGGATTATGGCAGGATCCAGCTTCGACTCTTTCTGTTGCCCTACATTGTCCTCAGGCAACGTCCAAATTTATTAGCAGGATTCTATGTGATTAAGCTCTTGCCTGCCTCTTCAACATATCTATCTTAGGGCCTCCCAAGGGCCCTATTGAGTGACTGCTGTTCTCTCCTTTCATGCTTTTGCATGGGCTGTAATTCATCCTGAACCAAACTTCCGGCTTCTCCATCCCTCTGTCATTCACTCTTTAAAGACTGGACCATGGTGTCACCTTTTCTTGGAAACCCTGTCAGACCCAAGTTTAATTCCACACTTTCTGCATTCCTGTTGCACTTTGCAATGGTATCTGATATGTCTCTGTGTCTGAATATGTTTCTTTCTTTTCTTTTTTTTTTTTTTTTAGGTGTAGATGGACACAACACAATGCCTTTATTTTTATGTGGTGCTGAGGATTGAACCCGGTTCCCGCCTGTGCTAGGCAAGCGCTCTACTACTGCTGAGCCACAATCCCAGCCCCTGAATATGTTTCTTTATGCATATACATGTATATAAATGCAAGAGTCATAACCTGTATTAAACACTATGTGCCAAACTTGTATCGGTCAATTTTGTGTTCTTATAACAAAATATCTGGGACTTGGTAATATATAAAGAAAAGAGGTTTAGTTATCTCCGTTTTGAAGATTGAAAACCCAAGATTGTGTGGCTCCATTGGTTTGGCCTCTGGTGAAGGCCTAATGGTGGTTGGCATCGTAATGATGAGACAGGAAGCCAGAGAGGGATTGAGGTGTAAGGCTTTCTCTTTTTTAACAATTCACTCTGGTGGGAACTAATTGGGCTCTCATGAGAACTACCTTACTTCCTTCTGCATGCAGCGCTCTCAACAACTGACCAGTTCTTCCTAGGTCCCACCTCTTCAGGTTCCACCACCTTCCATCATCACCACACTGAGGATCCAACTTCTAACACAGAAGCCCTTGGGGGACCCTCAAACCACATCCAAACCATAGCAGCATTCTCCTGGTCCCTCCTCATCTTTTAACTGCATCCCACAGAAGTCCATGAGTTGTGTTAGTGACTTATTAGTCACATGGCCAGAAAGGAAACTAGAATTTAAACCCAAGCTCCACAGCCATGTGCTTCAGATAATGCCACCTTCCTGTGGCTCAGCTGTCATCACACTACTTTAGAACCACTGTTACTCCCTCTTGAGGTGAGCTCCTTGTGGGCAGGGATTAATCTTTTTCAGAGACTGGCACATTCTATTAGCTCATGAATGATGATGGACAAATTGAATGAGGCACAGAATAACAAATGCAAGATACCTGGCCCTTTATTCCATGAGGTTTATAGTCTCCATTAGTCCTTCCTCCTTCCCTCCCTCCCTCCCTTCCTTCCTTCCTTCCTTCCTTCCTTCCTTCCTTCCTTCCTTCCTTCCTTCCCAAAATAATTTCAGGGACTTTTTTGTTGTTGTTATTGTGCTGGGGATCAAACCCAGGGCCTTGTGCTAAGCATGCACTCTACCTCTGAGCTACACCCCCAGCCCAAGTTGTGGGATCTTTTTAATAACACCAAAAATGCAAACTAGCACCCCAAATTTACAGATAAGAAAAAGGGGCACAGAAAAGTTAAGTTACACGGTCAAGGTCACAGCTGGGAAGTGTTATTTCCAGGGTTCAGACCTCAGTGGCCTGGTTCCTTAGCGCATGCCCTTAATCTCTACAATGTATTGTGTGTCCAGCATCCTCATTGGGCAGAGGAGGAACATAGACTGATACACAACAAGGGACAGGGACAGGTGTCTGGGTAGTAAGGGAGGCAGAGGGGACCAGTCAAGCAGCTTGGGGGAGGAAGGAGATGGGGCTGTGCAGAGCGGCTGACTGAACAGCCAGGCCTAGTGGGGGAGGTGGGATGTACCTGGACTCTGCCCAGCCTCACCCACAGCTTCCTCTTTCCTGCTTCCTCCAGGGGTCTCCAGCTGGTTTCCTGTCGGGGTGTTTTCAGAGTGTGTGGAGGTGGGGCCTCTTGGACATCCATGGAGCAGCAAGAGCAGCCCTCGTCCTCCTGCCATTTTTCCCTTCTCAGCTCTCCACTTGCCATCTGCGGGCTCTGCAGGAGACTCTGTGAATCACGGGGATCTCGTGAGTCACTCATTCTCCCTCTCTGAGGAATACATAACGTCAAATTTCACAAAAGCAGCGCAGTCGGGTTTAAGTGAGGTGTCACACAAAGATGGAGCACGGGTTCTGCTTCCCCTGATGAAGTGGCACTGCTGTCAGGCGAGGCACGTTGCCAGTGCTGAGCATGAAGTTTTGGACCATCAGCCCGGAGCTCTGGTTGCTGGAGTTTCTTCTGGATTTGATGTTCAGACTCTGGAAGAGGCACAGCAGGCCCCAAAGATCATAATTTTGGTCCAGCTGGGGAAAGTCTGAAATATGGAAATGAGTGTACATTGATTTGTTTGTGTCTCCAGTCTTCGTTGAGACAAGTATATACTTTATTTCACTTATGTCCTGAAGGTAAATTTACTACTTTAATATTCCAGAAGTGCTTTCCATAGCTTCTGGCATGCAAAACCTTTGAATGCAAAAACCATAATGTTCCTGGTGTAGCAGAGAGGCTATGTGCTCAAGCAGATGCCAATATCTTGTGGCAGGATTTCTTTTTACTTCATCCCAAGTGTACCTTCTCATCATGTCCTCATGTCTGTCCCAAGCCTCTCTCTAAAGCAACTCCCCCCCCCCACCTAGCTAGGGTGAGGGTAGGAGAAAAGCAGTTTGATTTTTCTGGAGCAAATTATAACAGGGAGCAAATGCAAGTCAGATTTAGTTCCTTGCAGGGCATAATTTCATTATAGAAGAGAAGCTTATTAATCAAAGTCTAATTGATTGAAGATCAGGGTGAGACTTGCTTTTAAAGAGAAATTTTCTAGATTTCTTTTTTCTTTTTTCTTTTTGTCTGATTCGCTTTCCTTGGCATTAAAGGAATATGCTCCAGTATCCTGCAGTCCATGTGGGAAGGGTTGCCGGGGCTTTAGTTGTAGGTGCTCCAGGAAATTCAACACCAAATTCCCTCTTTGGAGTGCCTCCCAGGCTCCCTTCACATCGTCCTTCAGGTACCTGCAGTCTGCCTTGGCAAGTTCACACTGCAGGTCTCATTGAAAGCAACCATTGAGCTCCAGAGCCAGACATTGGCTCCAAT